ATAAATCTACAGTCTGAAGCTGAACTGGGTGTCCCAGAGGAAGGGGTCTCACACATTGCCTTTTTGGACACGGTGATTTTTCACTGCTCTGCCGCAGATGCAATTCTAGCCCAGAGTGAGATATTGCCACTTAACAGCTCTTTAGTACATACGTTGAACAAACGGAGGCCTTGATTCAGCTCCTAGTGTACAAGAACCCATGGAGTAACTGGAATTAATTGTCATCTTATCAGACAGATGAGAACTATATGGGCAAGGCAGAAAACAAGGTTCCTTGAGATCAAGAAGATGCCTCCCTAAGTCAAAACTAGAGATACACTCCAGTGGCATGAGAGGGTTTCTAAAGCTTCTTTTGCTGCTGTTCACGACACGTGGCCTCTGGGCATGGTCTTTCTTCTCAAAATCATTTCAGTCAGGAGGATGAAACCTTCTGCGGATTTTGGTGGCAGGGCTTACCAGACTTTCACCAACTCTCAAAATGCATGCTGAAACGGTAAAAAATGATGCCTGAATCTGGAGTCTTACTTGAGCTTGACACACATCCTGTGGGCTGAAGGGGAAAGTCGTTTGCAGTAGGGCACAAATTGGCAACAGAGGTTGCAGAAAAAAGGTTATGTGGAAATTATACTCTTCGCTGTTTCAACTTAATCTATCACAAAGCTGGTAATTTATCAGGGAAAATAGAGGCAAAACTGGCAGCACAAATGACATGTCATAATAGTCACACTATGACAAGGGACAGATTGCCCTTCTGAGAATAGGTTATGAATCGATGTTACGAGTACCAGAAAATGTTTGCAATCAAAAGTGTTAAGTGTGTAAATGAACTTAATGTTCTATAATGTCTGTAATAAAACCGAATAAAAAAATCCAGGAATTAACTGCCATTTTAAGCCATAAGAACAACTGGGACTTGAATAGCTATTATACGCTTTTAATGTACCCTAAGACATTAACTTATTAATATGCAGCAGATCTAAGTGAGGCAGTAACATGCAACCACTCCTGCAGAGGGGAAAACAGAGGTAGACTAGCTTTCTCAAGGTCAAAGACAGCAAAGTAACTCCTGGCTTCCAGGTCGGTACAAAGACACAGCTCATTTTTCTCTGGCAAGCGTCTGGCTCATTGGCAAAGCACCGATTTCAAGTATCCCAATTCCAGAGACCTCATCCGTGAGAGCAAAAAATCTAGCCAAACCAGGACACTAGAGGAAGTGGATGTTTTGGTCTTTTTTTGTTCCTGTCCACGCTCACAGTCCTGGTGGAGAGAAGACTTGTGAGGTCTAAGAAAAGTTTACTGGGCAAAATGTGGAATTGATATAAACAGCGTATGGATTCATTGAATACCAATGGAGTTTAAGAGACTTGAGAAGCTTCCACTGCACCAGGACCAAAGAAACTAGACACAGGGAAGGAAAAAAAAAGAAAAAATTTAGAGTAGAAAACTGATCTGCACTTGTCTACATGATCCTCCCTTATTAAAAACAAAATACTATTCTAAATAATCCCCCAAATTACCAGACTTGGCAGCATTATTACTACAGCATCATGGCAATTATTCTACAAAGTTGTAGTATTCTTTCAAGATAAAGACTGAGATCAGCAAAAATAAATGCTGACAATGAACTTCGCATTCCCCAGAAGGTGCCTCAGAAACTCCTCGGTCTGTCTCATCTCAGGGTTCCTGACCTAACTGCAGGGACCCAGGACACCGTTACCTTGGAGGAACAGTAAAGCTCGGCATGTCACCGCATATTCTAGGCACTCAACGGATGTGAGCACACCACCAGCTTTTAAACAGAGGAACGCAGATCTAGGATCTCTGCAGTTTTACCAGGCCCTCAAGACTTCTGGGCTGAAGTGTCCAATGACAAATACTGCAGTATGATCTCAATTGGGTTTAATCCAGATTTTATACAATTAAGGGAAAAGAACTACTGTCAAAAATACTAGAAAACAGTGGCATTTGGTGCAAATAATCCTCTCCCAAGTTAAATACATGTATTTTAAAAATCAGCACAAATCTTCAAGAAAAGTTAGCAAATTTAGTAAGATCACAATGTGGCTTGAAAAAGCAGTTTAGGAATTTAACAGCAAGTGTCAGCTCCACAGATCTGTAAATATTTGGAATACTTTTGCCTCTAAATACTATGAAAATAACAATCACTGTTGCAAAGGAAACAGTCATCACCTGTTTTCTCTCTTGTGAATGCAGAAGTTATTGATTTGTTTTGACAAGGAGAATAACTGAAGTAGTCAATACTTTGTTTCATAATTGAAATAATAGTTAATCAACACAGAAAGGCTATGAAAAATCAACTGTCCGCAATATCATCAACTAGGATTCATTTTCATTTTAAATGTGCAATATCAGTGCCACAACCTTTTCCTATTTTCTTCTGCAAAGGATAGCAATTGCTTCATATTGGGAAACAAATCCTTGCTTATTCAGTTTTTAACAAGCAGCAGGGCTTCAGCTTCAAATTATTAGTTAAAACCCAACAGCATCACCTTCTTTAAATGTATTTGTAGACATAAACATGATGGATGCCTAGAAATTGGAGCATTCATTGCTGTGAGGCAACAGATGCCACAATGAAATCCTACTCAGAGAGATGTCCCTGGGCTCAGGATAACAAAGGGCCTTCCGCAGGCAGCGTGAGCCAGGCAGCAGGACAGCTGACCCGCGCAGCGCAGCCCCAAAGGAGCCTTTGGGAGACAAGCTACCCTCTGTGCTGGGGGCACCAAGCTTTGGGGTGACACGGATGCATCTGACCAGCCCTGCCGGCAATGTGAGAGGTACAGGGGTAGTCACCGGGCACAGGGGGCAACGTGGATGCTCTTTCCAATCCTACTGCTACAGCCCTTTTACTGATGGGAATAGGAATATCCCTCACAGTCCTAGCAGTTTTTCCCCAGGGGAGAATTCCCCCATGCTGCAGAAACATTAGCCCCCCTGACGTAACCACAGAGGTCTCGCCATCCTGGTACTAAAATTAGCTGGCGATGTGGGACAGCCTCTGGTCCTCTGACTTTTTCATGCAGTAACGAGAATCTGCCATCTCTAATCGAATTATTTTCAACTATGCAACATAATGAAGGCAATGTTATCGCAAAGAGGTACTGGGGCAAATCATTAGGCATGTTGTCTGTTAGACGAAATATTTTAGCTTCCTGTCTAACAGAAGGATGATCTGATGCTCCTAGAAGAAGCTGGCTACAAAGCTGCCCTCGGTACTAAATAGAACATATGTCATTTTTTTGGATTACCTTCCCTATTCTGGGACTTGCTCAATTTTCCTCTACAAGACAAAATAAGTTTTCCAAAGCTTGCTGACCTAGCAGTCTATGAGGACAGCTTCCATTTATGAAACATGCTTCACTTACCCAGACTATTTGGAGCAGCATTCAGAGATACTCACAAGTGACAGTAACATAAAACAGCCCCAAGGTGGGTAAGGCACTTTTGATCAAATGTACTACCTTCCTCCAGATGCAAATGGCTAAGAAGGTAGCTGCTGTGGAATGGGTTCAATGCTTATCTTAAGATCAAACATATAATTTAATTTAAATTAATGGAAATAATTAAAATACTGTATTAAAACCCCTCTAAGTGTCTCGTAGGAAGTCCTCATAGGCTGTTTCAAGCTAACTGGTAATACTAATCAGATACCCTGGCTGAGTGGGACATTTGGGTTTTATTGCTCTTTTCTGAATCTTCCACTTCCTTTCCTTGCCTTTGGCAATCCTCCACATAACCAGAGCTCTGCAGTTATGTGCTCTGCAGTACATACTGCAAGTCAGGCATGTCCTATTAAAATCGTCTCCACTGGCTATATTACCTACTTCCTTGAACAGGACAATGGGGTTCAGGAAATTTGGTCTTTTCCTCCTTTCTGCCACAAACTTGCCACACAAGCCTGGAAAGGCTCTTTCCCAGCAGCAATGACTCTGCCTTGAAGTTGTCAGACCCCAGAGGTGAGGTCTCATTCAAGTAACATCAACGTAACTCAAGTGGTGATACTGATACTGAGGTTAGCAGGAAACAGTGCACATCAATATGCAATTTTAAAAGTCAATCCATTACCTTTCTAGCCTTTGCATGGTCATGGCTAGCGTTTTGTTCAGTTCCTCTATCATCCGGCACCCTGAAGGGTGAATGGGCAACGTGCTGGACCCAGAAGGCAGGTGCTGGCTATGGCTGCCGTACTGGAGCTGGTGCTGGTGAGCTGCTAACTGGGATGGCAGGACAGTGTGATGGTGCTGGGTCAAAGGCTGCTGGGAGCTCTTCTGCGTGGAATAGGATGAGAGAGAGAGGTCTGGCCCCCCTAAAGGCATGCAAATCATGACTTTCTTTGGAGGTAGTGGAGGTGACAGTTTAACTGGCATACAAGGCAGTTTCACAGGAGCGCCAGGATCTAAAACAGAAGAAAGAGAGGTCCTGGTGTTAATTTTCACATCAGTAAGATGGAGGTCAAAGTATCTGCCCGGGCGAGCAGGGACTGAGTTTGCTAGTCAACGCGGGAGCCTGCACCCCTTCCCTGCTGCGACAGACAACTCTGCACAGCATGTGCTTGGCACGGTCTTCAGAAAAAATACTGTTGTTTTGCAGCACTTCTGAGCCTCACAAAAAACATCCCAGGGCTGTGCGTGCCCCTTAATAAACACGTTAAGCAATGCTTAACAAGGCTTGTGGCACACTTTGACGCTTTAAAACCCTAATCTTCCAAAACAGCCCTGTGAGGTAAGCGCAACGTCTCCAGCTCAACAGGCACGCAAGCAGGAGGAGAGCACTGTGGTGTTTGAAGTTACAGGATGACTCACCACCATCACTGCTGGAGCAAAAGCTCGGGGATTCCTGATCCTTCTCAGGCACTGCACTGCAATTACTGCAAGTCACATTTCTTACAGCTTTGTAACATGCAAAACATCTGGCGTTAAAAATTACATTACAGGGCAAGAGAGAAAAGAAATAGGGTTTGAATACTAAACAGGAGTGGTTTGGAAAAACGAAGGGTACAGGAGGAGAAAATTATAAAGGGCAGAAGATTGTTAGGATTAATGTATTCTTTTACAGAAGACTTGGCAGCCACTTTTCTCTGGACTCATGTATGGAACTTTAACCTTTTTAACTCTGGACACGTTTATTGAATCACACAGTTGACCTACCAGGTAAAGACTCTCCTGACTTCCATGAGAAATCAATGAGAGCTCCACAAGCAAACCTCTCTGCCGGGACTCAACGGCAGGATGGAGATTTTTGGAGTCACACTGTGAAATGTTTTCAGAAGGGACAAAAAGCAATGGGAGGGCTTGTAGTTCCCAAGATGGGTGTGGGAAACAGTCACAACGCACGCTAAGAGCAACAATGAGAACAAACACAAATGTTGTGAGCTGCAACTGTGAGTCTGTGTTTAGGAGGAAGGCCAGGCCCTTTCCAGCCTGGAATACTGCAGACGCTCGGCTCTGCAACGCAGCTCTGCGGGCAAGGCTTGCATGATCTTTGGCCTGTTTTTGCTTCAGTCCACTCTTCTTGCTGTAGCATGGTAAGGGAATTGAAGGGTCAGAATCTTCTTTTAACCCGAGAAAGCTTGGGAGTAAGATGTTGCTCTCCAGGTTTCAAAGGTCATCGCCCTCCTGAGGGACATCACATTTCTAAAGTCCTTTTCCAGATGGTTCTTTTTAGTATTAACTATTCTTCCCCTCACTCTCTTTATGCTTTCCTCCCTCCTGGCCTATTTTGGGTATTGCCTGTACTAGTATCCATATCTAATAGCCAGGGTGCAGAAGGTTGATACTAGAGCTTCCAAGCACTAATGCTTCTTGAAAACGATTAAGGATAGTAATGTGGAAAAAGACCATGCATGGAGCCAAGCTCAGATACGTCATTAGACTTTTTTTAGTGGTAGTCATAGCTTCATTGCATCCACAGTATCCACTCGATACTAGTGTTTTTACTACGCTAGGAACAACACACTGACACCAAGTCTTCCCTTTCTTCAAAGGGCTTACAGGCTCACAACAAAGGAGAGGCAAAGGGTGTGCAAAGACGAAATAGAGGCATAGAGAGAAAGTGGTCTTTCCACGTTGCAGAGTGGGAGAGTTATAGAGAGTAGAATCCAAGTCTTTCAGCTTTCCATGCAGTATCATATCCACTTGACATGTTGTCTCTTGAAGGCAAAAATTCTTCTGATGGCTCCACCAAGGCTGAGATCTAACTCATGGGATTGCCAAAGCACAGGGCGCTGCCCTCCCCTCTAAAGCAGATCGCCTTCTGTACAGTAGAAAAAAAGACTTTCAGGATTTTCTATTCAAGCACAGGAAGGTCTCCAAGTTACCGTGTTTTTCTTACATACACACTATTTGTGTATATTTCCTCTTTGTATCCTGCATAAAAGAACACATCTCTTCAATAAAAGGTAAATAACAGAAAAAGTAAAGAGTAAATTGTATAAAGCCCTGAGAATAAGGGTCCTACGGTATTCGTAGTAACAAAATGTTTTCATACATTTGTGCTCCAGGCAATTTCACTTCTAGAGCTGGTCCCAAATTTCAAAGACTACACTGAGATCTGCACTTCCATTTTGAAAAGTGCAGGTTTGATTGTTGGTTTTAGATCCTTTTCTGCTGTATCCCAACTAAAGTCCTTGTCTGACAGTGCCTGTGCCTGGCCATCTCACCACTCTGAGTATGAGGCAGGGCAGTCATCCTTAGAGGTGACTTCAAAGAGATCCCAACTGCAGGAATCTCTTGCTTCTGACAAAAGAATAACTGGAAGTATCAATTGGGTTTGCTGCCTTCTGTGATCCTGGAGATTAGAGCAATACTGTATGTTGGGAGTGAGTATAACACGCCAAATGGCTCAGGTATAAAGCAAACAGGAATCCTTCCATCTTTCTTCTAAAATATAGTGAAAATTTCTTTCCCTTTCTCAACACACCAAATGGCTCAGGTATAAAGCAAACGGGAATCCTTCCATCTTTCTTCTAAAAATATAGTGAAAATTTCTTTCCCTTTCTGGTGCAAGCGTTCATCTAGTAGAGTTGTGACATAGGCACTGCAGCTTTGGAGTTGCACAGGAGAACAAGTCTAGCTTAATTATCCCGAGTAACTGCATACTCCATCATGAATCAGATGCGCATACTTTGGTTTCCACTCCTCACAACAAAGGTATGGACCTTTAGTTTCCACTGACATTTAAAGAAATCCTTCATATCAACATGTTTTCAGTGGTATCAGTGCTGGGTGACTCCACTGGACATCTGTAAAAAATCTTGTCCATTATTTCTAATGTAAAGCTTTATTCAGACCGACTGTGTTTCACTCAAGTCCTTGAGCCTGTAGCCTGAATATGGTCCTAATAGCTAAATAGAGCCTTGAACATGAATCAGAGGTATTAAACCTACTTGTCTGCCCTTCACCTTTGGGAGAATTCTACTTGTCTGTAAAAAAGTGGCTACAAGGAGAAGGACTGCAATGGGAGGAGAGTTCGAGCCATTCACTCGGATACGTAACAGTATATCTTCACCAACATCAGTAACAGAGACCGTGTACTGCAAGTTCTACTGCGTGGCCAGATCAGCGAGTGTGCTGAACAAATGGGGCCTTGCTCAAACCCATGGGCTCCAGGCACGCTGTTGGAAACTGCAATCGTCTTCTCCCTGCGTGTAAGAGTGAGATGACTGCGTTTTACCATTCTTTCCTCTGTTTGTTTTAATTTGTTTTAATTTCACAACATACGTGATTTCTGAGCCAGGGGTGGAAACAGTTATTGTCTCCAGCATGGAATATCCATCAGACATGGACATCTGTAGATGAATAAGAAGCTGGACAGGGGAAATACGAACAAGGAATCTGTGAGAAGTGTCTTCTCAGTGGAAGATTGCCAGAGTCTTAAATCACTGCACAAAGCACTCCTGTGACAGAAGAGAAGCAAACTGTGTGAAGCCAGGTGTGCAAGTCTGATTAATCTCTTTTGGCTCAGGTTCTTCATGCTCAAGAGAATAATGAGCAATTTTGCAAGATGTTGGTTCCCAGCAGGGTTGTGACCACTCAGCACTGTGCACGGTTAAGTAATAACTGTGCCAGAATTGATGAAAGAGATGTTAGACATCAACTTTCCCACTGCTGATGACAATAAATTACTTAAAAGATAGCTGTGGATGCCACAGTATTTGCTGCACATCAGACCTTTGACTGGCAGGTCAGCCCTTACCCCTTCCACAGAGATCATTTTAATAATACCTACAGTTGCTGAATCTCCTTTTGCGTTTTGAGGAGATAAGTAAATACACTTTTGTTTGCTGCACAGGTTTGCTCACGTGTGGTTCTTCTGATGTGTTTGTGGTACACTGGAGCTGTACACCAACTACACCAAGTCTGATGCTTCCTAGTGATGGAAGGTGGCTGGAGAGTTGGTTGGAACATGTTGCAGATCCAACTGTTGCAGACAGGGAGCTAGGAAGTTCTGGATGTATGGCAGCAAATAGCAGGGCTGGTAGAAAAGGTCATTAAAATCCTCAAATTCTGCCCCAGCACGACTACTGCATGCAGATAGAGGGCATGCCTGGGAATCCTGGGCTAGTGGCAGAGCTGGCTGTGTTTGCTATCCTGCCAGTGGCAGAAATGCTCTTTCCTGACTCCTTGTGATGCCAAACAGGAGCCAGCATTGTACCCTGACAACAAGGAAGGCCAGTGGCCTCCTGGGTTGTACTAGTAGAAGCACAGCCAGGAGATCAAGGGATTATTCCCTTTCTAGCCAGCGCTCCTTAGACTGTATCTAGATTACTGTGCCATGCTTAGGATCCCCCAGGAAAGACATCAACACCCCAGAATGAGCTGAGCAGAGGGTGACCGCAATGGCTGAGGGCTGGAGCACCTGACCTGTGAGATGAAGCTGAGGGACTGGGGCTTGTTCAGCTTGGAGAAAAGATAGCTTGTGGGGGGGAACGCCTCAGAGCAGCCTTCTGGTACCTGTGAGCAGGCTATTAGTAAGGGGGAGCCAGGCTCTGCACAGTGGTGCATGGTAGGAGGAGGAGAGACAGTGGGCAAAAACTGAAACAGAAGAGGTTCAAGACTGGATTATAAGGAAAATGCTTCCTGCCAGGAGAAGAGCCAAAGAGTGGAACAGGTTTGCCCAGACAGGTTGGGCAGCTGGCATCCTTTGAGGTTTTCAAGACCCAGCTGGACAAAGCCCTGAGCAACCTGGTCTGATCCCATAGCTGGCCCTGCTTTGAGCAGGAGGTTGGACTAGAGGCTGCCTGAGGTTCCTTCCGACCGGAACGACCTTACACAGTGACCTTTGCTGTACTATATACAACTACAAGTAATACAACTCGTCATAAAGTTACCAAATTACTTTTTAAATGCCATCCAAGTAATTAATTCCATAAAGCAATGTGCAAAGAAAAAAAAGTGTAAAACCCAGCATGGCCTGTGGAAGGAACTCCATGGTGGAAATGAGGTGCTGTGGCTGGTATTTGCTGGTAGCATCTGGACAAGGAGCTTTTACTTTTTCAGGTCTTCTCTCCAGGAATCACTTGTTCCTGAAGAGCGAGAGTCTCTCTTCTTATTTCAATGAGTTTTTGAGCAGATTCAAAAAGACAAGTCAAAAACCTTTCTCAAAGATTTGCCATGCATCTCCTGCTGACTACAGCAAGATCTACAGCCATGTCTTCAGGGAAGACTTGAGACAGAAATTCTTTGCTGTTCTTCTGCACCATGTATGCATCGAAGGTTCAAGTTGAATTTGGAGAACACAAGCAAAGCATGCTTAGCCTAAAGGTTGAAAAGTGCAGCTCTGCATTAATTCCCATGCAGAGTCTTGAAAAGGGTTTCAAAGACGAGATGATTTCCTGATGCCTGTACGCGCTAGGTACTTCCCTCCAGGTAGCAGCAGGCAGAGGAAGGATGGAGACAGCAACCGCATCAGGGTCCAGTTTCCCACGAGAACCTGGGGGTGTGGGTGAAGGAGGGCTGCTTTTGCTCTGCTGCTTCTCCCTCAAGCACACAGTGAAAAGAGAATTGTCCATTGCCTCCACGTTAATGTAACCCGTCTTCACGAACGCAGCCTGCCAAGTGCAGGCAGCAGGAGGTAGCATCACAGAGCAGGAAGCTTGTGGATAAAGTCTTAGGCTCAGCTACAGAGGAGCCTTACGACTGTTGCTTTATAAAAGATTGCACAGAATATTTATCAGATAAATTGGAGTTGTAAATACTTTTATAATGCTGTAACTAACAACCAGCTGTGTTGTGGCAATGCAGCAGGACACCAGGCATCCATGTTCTCAAACCTCATCCTTGGCTTGTCTGCAATATCAGAAGTAACTTTTGGGGACCTGTAACATTTCCTACCCTGTTAAATGTCTGCCTCTAATTATGAATTAGTTCTTACTCTGCAGAGACATAACTAGAAAGCACAGTCTTGGAACTAAAAATGTGCTATGCCCCTCCTCAAAATCTCGAATGAAGAAAGCAAGCAAATGCAAAAGGTTTCTCAAAGCTTAAATACAATAGCTGAGTGGCCAGATAGGATGAAGTCTACACCCTACTGTATTTGGGCTCAAATATAATCTGCTGTTGCTGAGATCCCAGCTTAGTGGTACATATTTTGTTCTCTGATGTTTTAGGGGACTTTATGGGTTACTGGTGATTCAGTTGTTTGAATGGAAAATATCTAATTAATTTCAGAAAACATTATCTGTGCTGATGAGAAGTAACAGCTTAATGAATCAAGATCAAAAGGAGGTTTACAACACTGGGGTCTGCTGTCTATCAAATCTGATACGACCACTCTTCTTGTCACTTTTGGCCATTAAAAATTTTACAATAATCTGGGAACTTGATCCCAGCAGCCCGATTAAATTTGGTCCCAGGATTATTTCAGCTCCTCCTACATTTTCAACGGAGGGGGCTGCCAGTGTTGTCCTAAATGTCTGGGTTCTGCGCGTGGATATCAGAGAACTAAAATGATGAAAGAAATTCTGCCCATGAACATTGTCTAATAATAATGGTACCTGAAAACCAGCGAAAAGGGTCACCAGGAGGTGACTGGCCAACAGGAAATGCAGAGCAGCGGAACAACAGTACCAAACCAGTGAAGGACGATGTTTGTTCTTAGGGTTGCCTGTCTCCTAGGGCTGCATGGGTACTTCCACATCCAGTGCAGCGAGAGGGACGTTCCCTGTGGAGGCGGTAGCATCAAGAGGATGGGAGATGGTGTGAGGCAGAGCATCTTCTGCAGTGGTGGTGGCACCAGTCCCAGTGGCTGCTCTGCAGTCTGCTCTTGGCTCTGTCGCTGCACTGTCCTTTGGCACCGTCCCGTCCCTACAGTACCTCAGCCTTGAGAAGCCGCCTGCCAAGGCTGTGTGATTTACATTTGCTAGAGGCAATTCTCTCTTTCTGTCGCCTTTAAAACTACTTTTTTCTTTTCATCCTCCCCAATTTAAATGTGCTCTTCCATGTTTATTTTAGGCCTGCTCTTTTATGTGCATTTCTTATGGAGAGAAAGGTTAATCTTTGTCTTGGCACAGGTAGATAGATGATTGAGATGGTTCACAAATGCCTTCAGAGGTGAGGAATGTTTCTTTTCCATTTCTAAAACCTGTATTAAGTCCTTTGCCAAACTCTGCAAATCAGCCTTCATTCTGTCTTCATTCTTCTTTACTGAAGAACTTTGGGATAAGTTCAAAGCAAGAAGGTGGTCAGACTCAAAGGAAGCTTTTCTTTCCTCAAGTTTTGTATTTAAAATATTTCTCTTTTTTTTTTTTTTGCTGCTGACCACACCTGTAGTGATTTTATAATATCTGTTTGTATAACACATGTTTCTATTAAATAAATACACATACGCACACATACACATACATATCTAGCTAAGACAGAAGTTAACAGGCACTTCTGCATTTTCAGATGTGTACCTGAACCCTTCACAAGATCACATCTCCCCTCGCAGTCTTACTGAACAGAGCTACCAGCCCATTAAATCACTGTCACTCTCCATTAGCCATGCCCAGTAGGTTTTAATTTGTCCTTCAAAATTCTCACAAAATCTTCAGTAGAAAAATGGGTATGCAACAAGAACAGAAAAGTCTTCACCTCGAACGTCAGAATTCAGATTTTACTTGTTTTCTCACACACAAGCTGAGGATGTCTCTGGAGTAATTAGTAAAAGAATAGCATTAATTCTGCTTCTCACTGATGAGGGTGCTTCATTAGGATTGATTGCTCATTTCCAAAGAGTATACATGCTAAGATAATTACCAGTGGAGAACATAAGGCACTGAACAACACATATATCCTTTAGACCACCAAGTAAATGGACCCTTAAGACTAAGTTTAATACTTTTATTTATAAGGTATGTATAAATGAGGCTTTCAGTTCCACCAGGAATAACTGTCTATTAAATTAGGGCCCCATGACTAAATCTGAATCTCTGTTCCTTTTCACTGAGGGTTCTGTGTATGCACGTACAAGAGTCTGTCTATGTGCACATACAAGAGGTTATTTAAGACTGGATAAGGGACCGCTAAAGGCCACTACAAAGTAAGAGAAGTCACAGTTCTGTTTCACTTTCACTGGGAAGTTGTCACCATCAAGCAATTGACTTATGTTGATAGCTTGAGCCTGATTCTACTTCACCCAAAATTTCCAGCTGCAAAAATAGCCACACCAGAAGCCCTGATTCTTTGACTCTTCTGCTATCTCTTACAAAAGAAAGGCTTATTAATGAAGGACATTTCGTACCTGAGTTTTTTCCTATGCTATTACTATTTTTTTTTATTTTTTCCATGTTGGCCTCATTTCTGAGCAGCTTCTTGTAACTGGGACAGAGTGTTGTGGGAGATCATAGGAAGCCGGTTTTGTCCTCACTTGAAGCCGTTAATACTGCTGCCTGGCTTTGCAGGCTGCTGAACTGCCCATTCAGTTTGCAATATAAGACAAAAATATTAACCATTATGTGTAGATTTTGGTAAGCAAGAAAGTAAAGAGATTTCACATAAAATGAACAAAACTATACAGAACAAAACTGTGTGGTCATCCAAACAGAAACATGAAAAGACTACATAGAGATAAGAGAGAAAACCAGAACATGCTCTTTCCTAATGAGCTCTTCCCTGATCTATAGCTTAACCTGAATAAAATGCGTATTAACTGGCAAGAAAAAAAATAAATCTAGAATGTATTAATGCGGGATGAGCATTTCTCATATCAGCCCTGAAAAGATCAGGGCAGCATTAACACAAGAAGACTGGCCCAGTGAGAAGACCAGTAGCTGCCCCAGTACAGAGATGCACCACACCTCATCCTGAACTCAGGGTTTTGAAGAGCTGTCTCCTAGGTGGTAGCTGCAATTATGAGCAAACTGTTCAAAAGGTGCACGCAAGCATTTAGGGAACCTTTTTTGGTCTGTGTAAATGTAGCCATCCTTTGCTTCAGTGCTCTAAATGAGGGACTGGAGAGAGAAGACCCACCAATCCTCCCTCCACACATACCTAGAGCTTTGAATACCAAAGAGCCTGGACACTTGTGAAAACATCTGGAACATGAAAAAAGAGCCTGCATTGTCTAGTGCTGCTAGCTGCCATGCAGTGAGAGACGAGTCGCAGAATAAACTGCAGGACACCAGAATCCTGGTCCTTGGGAACTGGAGCTGCCCATCATCAGCAAGACTCACCAGTGGGAGGGGAGCAGTCAGAGCAGGGGCGGAAAGGGGGAGCAGGCGGGCAGGCAGTGTGAGCAGGGAAGCAAACCGTAAGGATCAGGGGGCCAAGTGAAAGACAAACCTATGGAAAGAGAGAGAGTGTGTGCAGGGGAACCTGCCCAGATGGCAGTTGAGGGGAGAGGCAACAAAGGGCAAAAGGAGAAAGCAAAACTCTCCCTTTCCCCTCAGCTCTCATCCCTTTTCTCATTAAAGGCATTTAAAGATATCCTAGTATTTGCCTGATACTTCCTTTCCCATCAAAGCACATCCTGCAATTTCTATGGTGATGGTAAGTCTTGATGACTAAGAGTGAGGAGGGTTTGGAAATGCAGCAGCAGTCTTAGGTAATTACAGCCGAGAGAGGAAATGCCCTGAAGCAACCTTGATGAAGGTATAGTCTGAAGATGCTTCGTGATCCCTGCCCTAGGTACAACACAGATATGTCACCAGTACACACAACACCACGTGCAAACAGCGTTACAGGAGGAGGAAGGACATCGAGAACCTTGCTGTAAGGGCAGGTTTTTCCTATAAGGGAAATGGTGGTGCTGAGGGTCCAGGAAGACCTACTTACCAGTTAAGTGGCTGGCAATCCTGGCAATAGGTTTAGGAGGCAGGGCAGGGGGCTGTTTGAGGAGGGACAACTGTTTCACTGGGGTGTCCTCATGGTCTCCAGGGAAAGCAGCAGATTTTTTGGGGGGAAGTAGCAGGACTGGCTTAGCTGTAGGATCTTGGGACAGGAGGACGCCGGATTCATTGGATGTGGGGCTCTCTTCAGACACTGGAGGACACAACCACATCACAGACGCAACAACGTTACGAGCAAAGCAGCAGCGGATACAGCCGCAGTAAGACAAGAAAAGCAGCGCAGCAATGCAGATTAAGAACGACTAATAGATTTCACTGAAACATCATATAACATAGAAAGGAGGGGAGAGAGAGAGAAAAAGAAAGAGTAACACACATCCACACAACAGCCGAATTTCCCATTACCGCTGACAGAAGCCAGCTCCCTTATGCCAGGCTGAGACATATTCCCACATCTTGAGCACAAATCAAGAGCCTTTAAAATGTCACATCTCAGATGGTCTGTCACCACAGCTTGCTCAGACCAGATACATTAGCAGGTGGTCTCTAAACTTATCCTATAATGTAAAAGCACCTCACAGGGTCTACTCCATTTCAAAGAGGCTGCATAGCTGTTCAAGATCATGGAAGAACACCTCTACCAGTCACTTCTCCTCACCTGACCTTTGTCCACAACTCTCAGCATTAAGTGATGCAGAAAGAGGAGCTAACCTGCACGTACAGCATTGCTGTCTCTCCGCATGGGCTGGGGAAGAAGCAGACAGCCTCACCTAGGGCAGGGCAGCTGGCTATGTTAGCTACTGAAAGACGTGTGGTGTGAATGTCATCCAACACCACGTGGCAGTTAAAGGGCACAATGTTGTACCCTAGGGTTTAAAAATGTTGTCAGCTCTCTGCTCTAGAGCTCATTGGCACAGCTGAGATGCAGCCAGAGAGTTAGAAATCTACTCTTAAATGTTCACAAAGCGCAGGGACTTTGCCTTACTCACAAAGAGGTTGCTTGTGTAGAAGTAGAGGTTACTTCTACGCCAAGTCAGTCAAAATTTCTCGTGGAGCATCCAGTGACAATCCATATGCTGTCAACTCCTTCTCCAGCAGAAGACCTTTGTCTTCAATGAGGATTTCTCAGGGCTAGACACCAAACGCTACAAGTCAAAAACTTGTTTCAAACAGCTTAGAGTATCTACATCATAATGTAAACAAGATGTTACCTGTCCCATCCATGATCTCTGTGGTCGGGAGCACCTCGTATGAGCAGGGTTCCCCAGATGCTGGACCTGACTCCAGTTCTGCTAGGGCTGGCAGGGATACCTGGCTGGAGCTCAGCACTTGCCCAGAGCCCAGAGGCTGCCCATTCTCCAAAGCTCCTTCTTCATTTGGTATGGAAAGTTCCCCATCTGTTCATAGTTGGAGGAAAGCATAATGACAATGGAAGACACATAAATAAGATACAGAAAGAATTTAAAATGAAATCTGCGATCTCCATTAGCTTGCTCCCAAATGAGGAACCTGAACTGAGATCTTGTATGTATACAGGTATTGGGTTTGTGTGGTGAGGTTTTGGCAGTGGGGGGCTACAGAGGTGGCTTCTGTGAGAAGCTGCTGGAAGCTTTCCTCATGTCCGACAGAGCCAATGCCAGTCTGCTCCAAGATGGACCTACCGCTGGCCATTTCTCTCCCCTGCCCAGCTGAGGAGGGCAGTGACAGACTGGCTGCGGTGGGCACCTGGGGCCAACCCACCACAGTGCAGAAGACACAGGGATAAGGATCAAAACAATATGGCTTGTGTCTCAAAAATACAACTTGTGGAGATGTCCGATTCTGATGTTCTCTCCACGCCTGTTTCACAGAAGTCTGACAGCATTCCACTTGCCTTAAGGGGTTATTACGATTTGGGAAAGATCTGTCAAATATCTGTGTTGATCCTTTGCTTACCCTAGGATGGTCATTATGATCCATGACCTAAGCTGGATGGTTCCTGACCATCCTCCATCCATGGGGCCATGCAGCCCCATCCAGGGCCACAGAATAGATTTTCCCTCTGTCTCTGTTGAAGCTGGGAAGTCAGGAAAGAGAATGGGCTGGAAGTAAAGCTATGGAGTTTTCTTAAAGAATACTAATATACACAGTATGCAAGTTATAAAATTTTAATACTAATAACAAGAATTATTCTCTTCACTTATACCAATTTCTATGCTATAAGGGACACAAGCAAAATCACAGAAGTATGTCCCTATTTTATACACAAATAAAAGCATTACAGCTCCCAGCATCAAGATTTTAAGTAAGGGAGAGAATAATTTTTATAGTTGCCAAGTGTAAGGTCTTGATACTGGGATATAGCAGATTCCATTTAGAAAGTCTGTTTTCAAAGTTACTAACAATATCTCCTCTATCTGAGCAAAATTTCTGTAACAGCAGCTGGTAGTTTCTGTCCCATCAAATGCCGACTTCACATTAGAAATAATAAAGAACAGAGGCGAGGGATCAGATCATTCTCTATGGTGTCAATCCGCATGATTTTTATCTCAGAACTTGTTATGCACAGCACTCTGGTACCTGGAGGCAACGACTGCATGGATATCTCAATTACAGTTTTATAAAGGAAAGTGTTCAGCCCCTATGGTTATGCGTGGAAGCCTGAAAATATATACCCAGAATGTGACCTGTAAGGCTAAAAACCAGTAGGCAAATAAATGGAGCCTAATTTTACTATGCATTTAAATTATTTTTTTTAAGTCAAACTCAGGATTTCAGGATCCGGTTCTTGATTTTTGGGCACCTCTGATCAGCCATATTACTGCTTAATGTGCTGAGCACAGACGCACATCATTCAAGTGAGTGCACATTTTCCCCTCACAGGGCTAAGATGTGCAAAACACTTTGGAAAACAACACTGAAAAGAGGGAAAAAAAAAAAATTCAGTCTCAGTTAGGTGTTAGGGCACAGCAGTTAACAAGTCTGAAAGTACGTTAGCTAGTAAGTATTCAGAATTATGTTTCTGCCTTTTGAAGCTTCTCTACAGTGAGTGAAGATGGTCTCTTGCTTATTTTGGAATTAGGAGAAATACCAAGGTCTTGACTTTCCTGGTTTTGCTGGAGGCTTTTTGAAGACCCAGAGAGCTATTACGGTCCACAGTCACATCATACTAGACAGAAACCCGACCCATGGCTTTCAGAGCAATCAACTGAGCTGGCTAAAAGGTGGCCACATTAATCAAAAGTGAAGGTTTTGGCCAACTGTTCTCAGCACAGTCTCCTCCTAACTACCGTGGTCATTCAATACAAACCTGCTTATTTCCCCAGGCAGCACCTTGACATGTGTTTGGGACAGGGGCTGCTGTCATCTCAGTTACCTGGTTTCATGACAGAGCGTAACTGTTTCTTATGCAGAGCAACTCTTTTGTGAATGAAAGGCGGTGACTGCGTCCAGCAATATTCATTAATTCACTGCGGGACTAAATTTGACTGTAACTGTGAGCAGACAAAAAGTATGCATGGTAAAACCAGTAACATTTATTTTTTGCAGGCATGCCTACACATTTTTAATGAAGTGGGATGCTTATCGTAACATGCTGAGCATCTTGAAATCTCACTGTCTTAAGCGCACTGTGCACTTCTCAAGGTATATTCAGCATGATTTAAGAAGACAGCATTCAAATGACCCGTTGAAGGTTTATGATTGCAAAAAAGTAAAACACGAGATGAAATTTTGGCTATAATGACAAGCATGACAGCTCTCCGTACTGGCAGCATAACCTCTTTTAATCTTATCTCTGACTATCTCTAATCTTCATTTAGACTCTAAAACTCGTCCTTGGATTTGAATGAAATCATCAGACATGACACAGAACCATGACTGAAATATACACCCCAAATCAGATCTCAGAAGAGCTACACGGGGAGCTGCTCAAGTACAGCAAACAGATCAAAAATGTGGATAAAATAATTTGTAGAGTGAAGAATATCTTAGTGTGAATTAATCCTGGATCAGAGACATGCTTTTCAACCAGATATAAGAGGTAAATTACCTGTTATATTTAAAGTACTAAAAGCTATTCTGGTTAGCCAACACACAAATGAAAAGAATCCCGGTAAAGCAATTATTACATACACATGGTTCAATCGACTAGTCTTCAGGAACTGGCTATGAGTTTAAAGTTAATTTTGCACAGCGATAAGGTATGTAATCTTTTGTTCTCACACTTGCTAAATCCTTTGCTGTGTTTTCAGAGAGCCTGATGCTCCTTAGTGGAGAATGACTTCCCCTAAATGCAGGAGCTCTGACAATGCCGGCTGCGCCTGGGTCCGGACAGGCTTCCCCTCGCAGGGAGCGGAGCACAGGAATGTGGCTCCTCCTTCGCTCCAGAGGCTCCACACACCTGAGGTCACCGAAGAAACAGGACCTCAGAGGAAACTCCCTGATGCAGAGGACTCTGCCTGGACAGTGTGATTCACCTTAGCATGTGAAAATAACAGCATGGGATGAAGGCCCAGAAATGCATAGATGGTAATGTTCAAAACGCGTGCCCCCTGAGCACGGTTTGTATCCTGAAATTGCCTGCCATTTCCACTTTCAGGTGCTTTTTAAAAATTGCCTGGTGCGAAGCAGCCTGCAGCGCATCACGCTACCAGGCACAGAGCAGTCCTTTTGCCGTTCTTTACGTCGGAGCTCTGCCTACCCTCTCACTGTGTCTTTTCACTGAATACCGTGAGCCAGAGAAGTTCTCGCATACCTGAAAAGTGCCATGCTCATGTGCTCCTTCCACAAACAAATGGCTATGGAAGTAAAAATGATGGGGAGAGCTCCAAATCCTGGGCTGTTTTCCACTTTGGGTTGTTTCCTTCAGTACTTGCCTGCTCTCAAGTGAGACTGTCCAGGCAAGCATTCCTGAAGGCAAAGGCTAGGAAGGGCAGAGAAAAATTCATGTCCTTCTTGGCCACGGCCTCTATGGGGCAGGGGATGGAAAACTGAGTGTTCTTGTATGTGGTCAAGACCTGTCCTCAGGGCTGTTTCCTAGCCTTGGGGGCTACCTTAGCACTGCGGCTAGGATCCTCCTTGACTTCAGCCTCTCAGCAGACCCCCGATTTTGGGGGATCCCATGGAGTTGAGACATATGGATGTCCTCCCTGCTTCTGGCAGAGATCAAAACCTTTCAACCTGTGGTTTCACTGCAGCACAACTGGCTCTCTGGTGGCTCCCATGCCTTCCTCCTTGCTGCACTACCAAAGCCATTTCTTCAAACTTAGGCTCACACACTGCCACAAAACTTGTCTTAGCACCTAAGTGCAACACGTCCAAATCCTGCCAGGATTTAGGTAACCTGAAGTTTAGGTCTACATCCATCATTTTGATTAGACAGAGAGTATAAAAATGCCAAAGCGTAAAAGATGTCGACTGCCTATGCTTCCTTGAAGAACCATTGTACCATTGCCTCTGAAGCAAGCAATCACTACACGCTACACTACACATAGTCAGAAATTTCTCACTACAGGTAATCTCATCTATGTTCAGATAAAAGAAGAGGTATCAAAATACTACAAGTAGATTTAATTCTTTGACTGGCATCATGGAACAGTGGGCAACTCTAACGACAGACGCTTTTGGGACGGTTACACCTCCATGTGAAAATCAAAGCTGTTTATCTATGTGGAGGAGCAATGGTACAGCAAAAATGTGAGTTTTCCTTCTGCGTTGCGGGTGGAAGCTGTATCTTTAACGTCTCGGCACTGCCTGCCCACAAACTATTAGAACAGCAGGTGCCTCATCAGATACTTCTTCAACTTACTATTTTTCCAAAAGTACACTGTATTTGAAAAAATTACAGCCTTTGCCTATGTTTTCAGAAGACTCAAGTCACAGAACCCCAGAAAGGGAAGATGACAGAAACCGATACAGTCATGAGTCTGGCCCTTGCCAAGAAGAGAGCTCTGCAGTTCAGTCTGGAGTGGTTTCCCTTGACTGGGTCACTGAAGTGCTAAAAGCATTTCTTGTTTCCCAAACAGAGCAGCTGGACTGCAGCGACTCTCCCATGTGTGAACACTGGGACTTTCTGCACTCTGCTAACTGTCACCTGCTGGGTGACACAAAGTCCACCGAAAAGCCAGCAAACCCTGAAGCAAACAGGTCAGGGTGTCAGTTTATACAGCAAGCAAACTCACTTGCTAATTCTGTTTTTCTTCAACATCGAAGATATGATAAAATCAATACTAAGCACACTGCAAGCTCCAGAATTTTTGTTCTTGGGTGAGTCTATCCATATTAAGTTCCCTTCGATCTGTATAGATTTTTTTAAGAAAGCAAAGGGCAAAATTACTCACAGGCTGATTCTGTCTGCTTTGTACTCCTCTTAGGAAAAGGAGATGAAGAGATTTAACATTATGGCTACACCTATTGTCTGTGAATGATGCCTCTTGGCACGGGAGGTGCTACCATCATCAAATAAAGCCTTCTGCTACAGAGTGCTAAAGTCTGCTGTGTTTCCTTGAAGGATTAGAGATTACCTAACAGGAATTACAAGGAAAATGTTACTTCCACTTAAGGTTTGCAGTAAGACATAATATCCTTTATTAGAATTACTCTCAGATTATTACACCACTGAAGGAAAGATTGCTTTTGCTCTACGAATCTTGCCCTACTCATATACCCGTATCATCAAAGCTACTCAATCACTGCTATTATACTCGTGTATTAGTGCTTTCTTCTCTGCCCTACCTCTTTCCTTCAAGGAGGGGTACCAATTCTAAGCTTCCTGTGTTTGCGACCAGCAGGAAATAATGTAGGAGACTGGATAAGAAGTTTTGCATTCTAGTTGCCCTTCTAGTGGCAGCTGACAACGAAAAAGTCTGATGTCTCTGCTTTTTGCACTGGAAACAGGATGAAGCAGCATGTGTTTCATATCAGCTTTTTCTGATATGAAAAAGGTGAAAAATGACTACAAAGAGGAATTAATTTCTTTTTTCAGATGAGGACCTCCAGACAGCTTAGCACCTGCTTCCCGAGATGACACAGAAGATTACAAACTACAGCATTATTTGATGAATGGAGAAAGCTGTAGCGCTTTGGCAGCGAAGCAGGGGGAATCTCCCCGAGTTTCAACGTGGAAGGCAGGGTCAGGCTGCATAGGAAAGGTTTTTCCTAGGGATGCCTTTAGGCCTACGTAGGGCTGGGTCAGACAGCAGCTACATGTGGGATGGGATGGCAGGGATGGAGGAGGTCACACCCTGGACAGTGGTGCGACTGAAGGCTGACTTCTGAGCTGGCCAGGGTGCTGCATGGGGAACTACGGCCCGGTCTCCCTGGGGCCGCGACATGCGTGGTGTGACAGCCTGGACCAGGCCTCGCTGGCCGCGGGGATGCCTGCCTCATGGCTGCGTACCCCATCTGAGTCACACTCCAAAACGTGGACAACCTGAAGCAGCAAGAAGGGCACACCTTTTGCCAGGAGTTGTTTCTACCCTGAAGTTGCCTCTAGGGTGACTTTCAAGCCAGCAGGTCATAGTGAGAGCACAGGCAGTGTTAGATCTAAAGGATTAGAAGCATCTAAAATATGTAACGGGTAAAAACTGTAAAATGGAATGGCAAGCAATGTATTTCTTTGGTTTTGCAATGTTTTTTATTATTTTCACTTAAAAAAAATAAACAGTTTGGGTTAGTAAATTTTTTAATTCCTTATAAGCCAGACTAAAAAAAGTAGGTAGCAGATTTAAGCGCTCCAGTCTTTATGAAGCAGACCCTACTTCTAATATCTGTGAAAGTTTATAACTTCTACTGACTTCTAACAGGTTTTGTACTGGTATTGTTAAAGACTTTTAGACTGTGAATTAATGAGGCTTTAAAGCATACGCGTAAGTTCTATCAAAATTAAGAGGCAACTTTGGCATGTCTTTATGTAATTTGCTGAATTCGTTCCCTTAGTTATTGACAAAGGAGGCAGCAAAACAAACAAAAGCCGTGGTTAAAGACTGACACATATGTAATAGATCACAGAATATGTCTTGCATTACCACTGTAAAACAATGGTGTTTGTAAAACAATGGCGTTTTGCACAAATAATACACTACCAACTCAACAGATTAATTACCCTGAACAAGGAATTATTATTATTATTATGCCTTCTGAGCTGTTTCAAGGGAATGTGCGCCGTTCTGTGCTTGTCAGGATGCAAAACCTTTAAACGTTTCCCTTTTCGACAATCGTTAATCCCAGAGTGACTCAACCAGGCAATGACAACACATGCAGGCACAGACCCACTCCGTCTCTCCGCAGTCCGGATGCCTTGCTGTTCTGCAGCGAGTGACTACTGCCCGCTGCTGTGATTTACATTTCTACTGCTTTACATTTCTGACTAGTTTTCAGTTTTATCTGCTAGGCAGCTATCACATGTATCCAACGGAGAGGGTCAGCCCACCGTGAAATCAAGACAGATGTTTGGAGACCTTACTCTGCACAGTTCTACAATTCACGACCATATTCCCAATTCCTAGTGTTACAATAATGTAATATCTGGCGATAAAACTACATGGGATATCAATTTAATGTAATGAAAAGAAGAACACTTACCTTTATCAAAAATTTCTTTCAGCACTCCTCGTTTTATCAGCTCCTCTCTGCTTTGCCTCATTGATATTTTTCTTTCCAAAGCTGTAAGCAAAGGAGAAGGGTCAATGTAAAGAGAGAAGAAGGGAAATGATTGTTTTAGAAGGCTTTATGCCTCTTAAGGTATTCAAAAAATGCTTTGTCTCCTCTTCAAGTCAGTGGCAAATTAGCATCTCAAAATAAAGGCTACTGGCAGCCCAGGGAATGTGTCTGTTGCTGTAGCGCGGCCGTTATTGACAGAAGGGGCTACAGACTGACCGATCTGAGGGCATGTCTGCACTCCCATTGCTTAGTTTTGGCACATGACCCAAGTATTTCTGTGGAGAATTAGAGAGAGCAAAGGGAGAAAAAGGCAGTTAGTGCAGAAGCCGGAGAGGAAAAGGGAAGAAAGGAGGCAACGCGAAGGATCACCCCAATGAAAGAGGCAGCCATGGACAGTCTTCAGGCCACGGAAGAGGACTGGCACCTCTGTTGCCCTGAAGACAAGGCTTGTTTGCCAACAATTCCAGCTAGAGCGGATCAAGGTGTTTGGGACAGTGCAAAACAAGAGCTGTTTACTGGAGCCTTCTGCTCCCTGGAGGGGTGTTTTCCCCCAAAAATGTGTAAATGAGGGAAACTCCGTGAGAGCCACTGCAATTTACACCAGGTCTGAACAGCCCGAGTCCTGCACTGGCTGCTTGGAGACTGTGGTCACTGGGGTGGCAAAATGACAGATAGAAATTTCATGTTTGTTTAGTTCAGCAGTAATTAAAACAATGTCCAATTAACCAAAACACCACAGAGGACACGCATTCAGGCAAAGAGCTGAAAGCCAGCAAGCAAGGGGCACAAGAAGCGATGCGCAGGAGTGGCTGCGACTGCGTATGCTCTGCGAGAAACAAGCCTGTGCCTGCCAAAAAAGAGGCACAGTCAAGGGCGAATCGCTTCTGCCATATGCTCCCCTATCAGACCCAGCACAGACGCACGCACACACACACACATGAACTGGGACTCAGCGGCTCCAGTCTGCCCAAGGCAGATTTAAAGCAAAAGAAGCTTCGAAACCCTCTCTCCATCCCTGAAAACACGAGGGTGTAACCTTTTCTGGTACTGCTGCATGTCCTCAGCCCCTCCAAAAACAGCCAGACCAAGCTACAGCTAACTCCTGAGCTTTCTCCCACCAAAGAAACTGTTAAAACCCTGACTGACTCTAAAGAGCAATTTGGTGGCACCAGATACCTTTCCCAATAGGTCCGAGAAAGTGTAATTTTCTGTTAGCGTAAGCAGCAAACAGCACCCAGTCTGTCCGAGCCGCTGCTTCAGCGGGAAATCAAGTCGGGTGAAACAGCAGCAAAGCAGCAGTTTCTGCCCACAGGCAGCAGCACTGCCCACAAAACAAAGGGCAAATACTGCTATTTTTGTACTTCACCATAAACAGCTAACTAACAGATCCCCATTTTACAGACAAATTCACTGGCACTCACCCGGGTTCACTGTCTCGCCCTCCTGCCTAGTCAACAGCTGGCCATGGAAGGGAGCAGCGTTACTACCGACTTCAGGGCGAAGAAGTCCAACCACGTTACTAAAGTAGTGGTAAGAAATACAGTAATTTTGTGGACTGGAGTTAAAGCTTCTGGGGGATCAAGCGCTAAACAGGGCTAGCAGGGCATTTTGCAGAAGCGCAGGAGTGCCTTTCCCAAAACAGGTGCTGGGGAAGACACTCAGGTACTGACCAGGACTTCTCAAAGTCACGGACTATTTTTGCAGCCTAGCAGAATTTCGAAGACAAAACACGTATATTTGGAAGACCGTATATACATAGGCTTTTCAGATACTTCCTTTTCGTTGTAATCTGCTTCTGCTCAAGAAAGAAAAAAACCCACAACCCTCCAGTTTGAAGCTCAGAGGAAAACATTTTTTTTCAGTTTCTAAATCCCTTCTAAGTAGGTACAGGACTAAAGTATTAATTATTTTCCTACTAAGCCAGTTTAATTAATAAGATATTTAGAGGAAGGGCATGCTGGGCTAAGAGCAGCACTGACTGATAATAACAGATGTTACACTGAAACTATGGCACATGCTGCCTTCCTTTAATACAAATCTTCCTCCCAAACAAGTCCTGGACATTTAAGTGCATAAACTGCTACGCTACTGCTAGATCAGCTGGGAAAAAAACCCACAAGCGCTTAGATGCAGAACTCATTAGGATCTAACAGCCTGAAAAATGAAACATTTTACTCGGTCTGGATTTCTCTGGCAAAGATTGCCAGTTCTTTTATGAAGGATTTTCTTTTCAAGCAGAAAGCTGATACAAAATAAATTCATTCGCTCTCCACTGAGAAGAGATCCATTCACAACAGCAGAGGATAAATAAAAACCTCTGAATTAATCCTTGATTCATGAGAGCGTTGTAAATTCTGTGATCAGGAAAAATTAAATATAATTAATATTTAACAAAAGATGTATTACTTTATTGGCGATTTTCCTTGGTGATTAACCTCCCTTTTTCATTTGTACCATCTTCCAGTAGATTAGAAATAAGCATTAAGCCCTCTTTATGGGGTCTACTTATGCTAGAAACCGGTTATCTTAAATTCATCCATTCGCCCCAAAACTCAGTTACTAGTCTATAGAAATGAGCGTATCTGTATTCTACGGTACAGGCGTACAGATTTTGCCAGTGTGCTCTGCAGTATACAGTTCCTTTTAAGCTCTGATGAAGAAGCAGTGGGAAATGTTTTTATTAATGTTTCTGAGCTGGTGTTTTTGAACTCGTCCCTCAGGAGCAGCACCCCTCCGCTGTTCAAGCAGAGCTTTTCTCTGTGGCAGACCCATTAAGATCAGTAAAGCCTCGACAGGGTCAGGAGGATTTCCTGCCTCTCCATTCTGGAAATCAAGTACCGTTTTGTCTTTATTCCTTTAACAAGCCCTTGTGCCCTGCGACGGCAGCGACTGTGGGCTGCTCCTCCAGCTGAGAAGGTGAAGCTCGCCGCTGCCCCAGTGCCACGCGTTTCCGCAGCTCCATTAACCAGCCAAAGAGACATTTATGTAGTCAGGAGGTGTAACCCTTCTGTCCTTCCCCCATCCTTCCCTCCAAGACCAAAGCATCTCAGATGAACTCTTCCAATCTGCATCTGTATGAGAATAAACCATCCTCCTTTGCATAACTTGTCACGTTGCTGCTTAAACCGAGGGGTGGACTAAATAAACAAGTCCTGCCCTTTCTTCTCATCCGATGACCGAAACTAAACCACAATCTGTGCTAGCTGGTTGAATCTTAAGCTCGCTTTTTTCCGAGGACGCCCTTGGCCTTTGTCTTTGGAAGCACTGGGGGTTGCGTTGCATGAATTCTTCCTTTCAGAGGCCACTATAATTTTTGTGATTATTTTAGGAAGCAAAGGTCATTATAGGAAGGAGTTTAGAGCAGAAGCTTTCTGGTGCATCGACTGTATTTGGATTCAATAGGCAGAAATTTGCTTTGCTAATAATTCAGATCTGAATAATTAGAAACAAGTAAACCAATTGTTTTGCACAGTGCTAAGATAAACAATCATCAATGTTTTCTTTAGACTTGTGAGGAAGGAGAGATTTTCAGATGTGATGCATTATGTATCAAAACATGTTATGTCATCTTGAAACTCTTCTGACTATGTAGACTTTCTTGACAATGAAATGGAGCAGGATTCATCCATACAAATTTTTTACAGTCTTGGCTTCTGCCTCTGACTTGGCCTCCTTATATAGAGCAAGTCAGGGGCATGATTGAGCTCAGCCTAAGGCAAGCATCTGAATAAACCAGGCTGAACTACACCTTGGAAGTGCCTGTTAGTCTTCACTGACCATAACGGAAGCTAAGGGTGAGTGGCTGACATACAGATGCATAAAATTAGGGCCGAATCCACTCCTGAAAACAAAGGTGACTGAAGAGGGTAGTTTTAAGAGAAGAAATGTTGCTGTAGATTAAAGTCTCAGACGGAGCTGAGGAAAATGTAGATGTGTCAGCTCACACAGAGCTCCATTAATTTTGGGATTGTTTCAATAGCTGGGGCATCACACCCAACACTGCGACTGAGAGCTTGGGGTTTGACCAACGCCAAAACAGAGCTTGGTTGAAACAACTGGTTTGCTTTGCTCAGTGCTAAATATGAATTTTGCTTGGCTTCAAACACTTATAAGTCTCTTGAAGCCTGAGGCAAGAAAGAGTATTCTAACAGGTTTCTGAATATTTGAGATTGAAAGTTCCTGAACAGAAGTTTTAGGTCTCTCTAATCTCAGCCTGGGTTTTCCTGTAACAGTACCATCTACAAAATCTGACTCGGACAGATTACTGCCTAGAAAGGATTAGGAGCCCCTTTCTGTCTGTCATCTCCGCCCATGACATTTCTTGTTCTGACTGTAGCCTAGCACTCCCATTCTATGAGATTACAAAATACGTGAACATCGGTGGGGGAAAGATGCGCGGGTTTTAAAAGTTAACCTCGACTTTTAAAAAAATATTACAAATAATTCTCCAAATCAGGTACCGCTACAGTAGTTGACCAAATAAATCCCTTTCAGTACGTGAATCGTTTGGAAAACTTCCTTGGCATGTGGTCCAAGACAAACTAATAAAACAGGAACAAAACCCGGCATCGATGCCACACTGGAGGAGTAACTCGAAACAGGCTAGAAGCAAACCAGTGTCATTATTATGATTACAGAGGTGGCAAAGTGAGGTACAGACAAAGTTGAAGCAACTTGGATCATCATCTGCTAGGTCAGTAGCAAAGCACTAACAGCAACTGTTCTGCAGCCAGTGGCCAACACGCAAAGCTAGGAAATGATCCTTCTAGGCTTAAAATTTGTTAATCTATAATTAAGACAAATAAAATAACATGAAAAAGAGGTCAAAAAAACCCAAACCACCAAACCAAACTCTATTAATTTTCTTTTATTCCCAGTCTTGCAAGTACAACTGCATTTAATTTAGATTATACCTACTTAAAACACAGAGAAGACGGTATTAGGGCACCTCGCTTCCCCTCAAATTCAGATCAGCTCCAGATGCCAGTCCATCTCCAGTCAGAAGCACTGGACTAGGAGCATGTTAAATCTTCATTTGCAACAGGCAAGCCTTT